TAATTAATTTTAGCATTATGTATAATAGAGTAATTATTAAACTCACATTGAAAAAGGATGAACTTTTTTAATAAACAATTTAACACCCTTTCTGGTACATTTAATGCAATTTCACTTTAAAATTTGTTTTTTTCATATTTTTCTAGATCATTTCTGTTTATGTACAGCAGTTTACACCAGTGCTATTTGACATTTTTGAGTGTACATTGTAGATGTTTACTGTGTAAATGTGTGTGCAGTGTGTAATGTACAGTGTGTAAATTTAAATATACACTGCTTATTACAGAAAAATATAATTTTTACTTTTAAAATGCTTGTTTAATATTGCAGCCATTATATTATTACAGCATAAATGTCAAAGTTCACATATTAAAGTTGGTGGGTGTACGTTAATTTTAAGCAAAATTTTCTACGTTCGCAAAGTGAATCAAATGAAAGTAAATAAGGTAAAATGAAAGGAAATTATCAAAGAAGTCATCAGTGATGCTTTCTTTGAGGAAGAGCAAGCATTTCCAACAAGTCCATACAAACACTGCCAATTATTAGTAGTATTTATTCTCCTTGAGGGGAATTATATCACTTGTTTATTCAGAGATACTGTATACTTTTGAGAAATATTAAATGTGGGAATTGAGAAAGTCTAAAATGTGTGTTTTGAGTTTTGTTCTTTGATTTATAAAATCTCAGTGATATTCTTGAACTTACAGCTGTTCAGAATGTGCTCTGCTTGTGCTTCATTCACATCTGGAAAAAAAATATGATTTTTCAGCAAGGAAACAATTATAATTTAAAATATACTTACATAACATGAATTTTTCTTGTTGGAAGAAACTGCGTTAGTCAGGAAAATCTTACTTTAAAGGCAATAGAATAAAATTCTACAAAAAGGAGAGGCCTAAATATAAATCAGACTCTTCTTTCTGACTGTATATGGACTCGAGGGATCTCCTGGTTTATGATTATAAAAGCATTGACACAGTGAAGGATATCATTTGCCATAAAGGAGAACTATTTCTAGTTAATGAAATGCCATACCAATTTATTGAAATATAAGTTAAAACAGAAGAAGATGTAGGACCAGTTTTACATATAAACTATTATATGTTTGGACACAGTTTCTTTCTGTCTTCATTCTCACAGTGGTGTTATGATAACGGCTTTGAAAAAATCTTGAAATCCCGGCATCTAGACTTGGTCCACAGATGGTCCCTGTGGAATCAAAGGCTGCCACTATACTAAGAAATCTTCAAAATAGGTTACCCTGTTCATCATTTCTTTGTAAAGTGCAATTGAGAAAGGTATGATCAGTGGTTGTTCCCCAGAATTATTTGAATCATTCCTTATGGTAGATAGTATAGCAATCCAGACACATATCTGTTAAGGTGAAATTTTTGCTAAGCTTACAGATTAATGAGTCATTAATTTAGGTCAGACTCGATAGGGTTGCTATGAGTCGGAATCAACTGGATGGCAATGGATTTGGTGGGGTTTTTTTGTTTGATCTAAGGAGAAACACTGAGTTCATCTGCAGAGAACTATGCTTAGTAAATTTATTAGAGTATACCCCTTAGAATTATGTTTTACCAGTAAGAATAACAACCCTCTAATGGCTTCCTGCATCACTCGTCTCAGTTTGTTGTACTGTGGTGGCTTGTATGTTGCTGTAATGCTGGAAGCTATGCCACTGGTATTTCAAATACCAGCAGGGTCATCTATGGTAGACAGGTTTCAGCAGAGCTTCCAGACTAAGACAGACTAGGAAGAAGGACCTGGCAGTCTACTTCTGAAAAAATTGACCAGTGAAAACCTTATGAACAGCAGCAGAACATTGTCTGACACAGTGACAATAGACAATCCTCTCAG